GGGTGTAGCGGAGATGAGGATGCTTCGTGGGATGTATGGGCACACGAGAAAGGATAAGATTGGGAATGAGGATATCCGAGGTAAAGTAGGAGTAGCCAAAATTGAAGGAAATATGAGAGAAAATCGGTTCCGATGGTTTGGACATGTGCAAAGAAGGCCTACTGACGCTCCGGTTCGAAAATGTGACTACGGACAGAGGTTCAGGGCCGAAGGGGTAGAGGAAGACCTAGGAAAACTTTGGAAGAGACCCTAAGAAAGGACTTGAGTACTTGGATTTAACGGAGGACATGACACAAAACCGAGCGCAATGGCGTTCTAGGATTCATATAGCCGACCCCACTTAGTGGGAAAAGGCTTTGTTGTTGTTGTTGTTGTTGTATATAGTATGCAATTTCGCAGACTATTTGTGTTTTTTTTTTATATTTTTTACTGGTTGTATTACCAAATAGCTTACTTTAACAAGTTGTGCTGTCTCCAGCAGATTGCTTGTGAAATTAATCTCATTATTCTATTGTGAGAACCACATCTCCAATGGCATCAAGCTCCTTGGGTTTGAATTCATCTCCTCCAAATCCTCAGGGGAAATATGATGCCTTTATGAGTTTTACATGAGAAGGCGTCAGCAAGTTTTTTCGAGATACTCTATGTACAGAGTTTAAGAAGTGCGAACTAAAAACTATTGGTCATTGTATTTAAAGAATTGAGCGCGAGAATCAAGTACTCAGAAATTTAATTCAGAATTCGAGGACTGCAATTACTATTCTTGAAGAGAATTATGCATCATCATTATGGGCATTGGATGAGCTTGAATTGATTCTTGAATCCCATGGAAAAAGAAAAACGGTGCTACCAATTTTCTATAATGTCGATCCCTCTGACGTACGAAACCAAACATGGAGTTTTGCTGAAGCCTTTGCTAAACACGAAGAAACATATAAGGATGACCCAGACAAGATTCGAAGGTGGAGGGCTGCTTTAGGCCATCTCCAACCGAGGGCTGGCCAAAGGGCTCGTTTAAGCCCTCTGGCCCTCTAAGATTCCCCAAGATATTAATATTTTAATGAACAGTACATGGCCATATTTGCCTCCGTCTCCAACCGAGGGCCAGAGGGCCAAAGGGCTCGTTTTAGCCCTTTCACAAAAAACCGTCTCCAACCGAGGGCCAAAGGGCCATAGGGCCAAACATAATTTATTATTTAAATTTAAAAACTACAACAACTTAAATTTAAAAACAACAACTTATATTTAAACACTACAAATTAAATTTAAAAACAACATTAACTTAAATTTAAAAATTACAACGACTTAAATTTAATATCCATAATCAATATCATCTTCATCATCCGCCATTGTAGGAGTATAGTCAGAGGTAAACAATTGCCGCCGAGCCATAATTTCTTTTTTTTTTCCTTATCAAAATAGGCCTTACTCATTGGAGTGTAATTCGAAGTGTTCCTTTCCATATTCTTATCATCCATCTCTTCTTGTATTTGTTTGGCTCGCTCTTCATGTCTACACTTCCTTTCTTCCGCCTCACGGGCATTTTGCTCCGCCAATAATCGAAATGAGGCCGCCACTTCATGTTGAGCGGCGTAATCAGCATTTGCCTGGCCCTTTTCCCTTAACCTTCGGGCCTTGTTTCGTCCCATAGCCCTAGGTAAAGAAATTTCGGATGGAGTCAGATTTTCTACCCTTGTTTGTTGAATGGTAGGAGATCCATCTTCATTCATATCTACAGATGGGGATGCAACTTCCAAAGGATCCACTCTATGTTGAGGTGGATCTTCAAATAACACCCACCCTTTACAAATTTCCCAACAACCATGAAACTGAAAGGGTTTTGAGCTGCCCTCCATATACAATTCCTCCGCTTAGCGTACCTAGAAAATATAATTAAAAAAATTTTAGGAAATTAATTCACGAAATTAATGTAATATAATTAAACATTTAAAATAAACTGGAAAAACACTAACTTCGTCATAGTAATTGGCGCCGCTTTCATGTCTACTTGCTGCTGCTAATAGTGCTTGATGCCATTTATTCAAACTTGGATGAAGATGTTTCTTCCATCTTGAAGAACAACTTTCGTGGTTTCGGGTATTCGGTGGAATGGTGCCTTCGTAGAACTCTAAGTATTTTTTGGACACACGAGTCCAAACACCTTCACTTGTTTGAGAAATCCCCCTCACACTATCTTCTGATATCCATTTATAAGCCTTGCAAAGAGCTTCATCTTCTTTTCGGGTCCAAGCCCTACCTTTCATTGCAGATGAGGCCATTTTTTTTGAAAAAAAATGAAGGAAATATTGAAGGAAATATTGCAAATGAAATGAAGAAATATTATAGATGAAGGAAATATTGAAAAATTGAAACAAATATTATAGATGAAGGAAATATTGGAAAATATATTGAAGGAAATATTGAAAAATTGAAACAAATATTATAGATGAAGGAAATATTAGAAAATATATTGAAGGAAATATTGAAGGAAATATTGAGAAATATATTGCAAATGAAATGAAGAAATATTATAGATGAAGGAAATATTGAAAAATTGAAACAAATATTATAGATGAAGGAAATATTGGAAAATATATTGAAGGAAATATTGAAAAATTGAAACAAATATTATAGATGAAGGAAATATTAGAAAATATATTGAAGGAAATATTGAGAAATATATTGAAGGAAATATTGAAAAATATTGAAGAAGGAAATATTGCAAATGAAGTGAAGAATTGAAAGAACTTCACCATATTTATAGAAGAAAAAAATGTTTAAATTAAATTTAAAAAAAAAAAAAAAAAGCCAACGGCTAGCTGACTCAGCTAGCCGTTACATTAAAAAACATTTCAAACTATTAAAAAAAAAAACCTCTTTAATGCTGTCGGTTTTAACCGACAGCAATAGAAAACATTAAAAAAAAAATAAGCCAGCCCCCCTCCAGCCCTCCAGCCCTCTCCGATCCCGTGGGCCCCTCCCAGATTCCAGAGCCCTCTGGCCTAGCCCTCGGTTGGAGACGGTTTTAGGGCTATTTTCGGCCCTCTGGCCCTCTGGACCCTTCGGTTGGAGATGACCTTAACCCAAGTAGCAAACCTCTCTGGATGGGATTCAAGGGGCCGGTATGCATATATTTTTATAGACTCTTTTCTTCTGCTAAATGATGTATGTTTGCAACACCGCATTGATATTGCTGTTAGATGAGTAAAATTCAAAAATTATGTAGTAGCTAGATTAAATCACAATCATCTAGGGAAAAAAATGCACTCACTGACCAAAGTTATTGTAGGAGAAATTACAAAAACGAGAGTGAGAGAGAGGATGGAAAAGTGATTAATAGTCTCTTTTCTTTGTTGTAGGCACGAATCAGAGCTCATTAAAGAAATTGTTGATGACATACGGAGGAAATTGCACCCTGTGTTTCCTTCTACGATCCCCTCTTCGATACTGGCTAAAACATCAACACCTTTTTCTTCTCAAAGATGGAAGTATGATGTGTTTATGTGTTTTAGAGGCAAAGACACCCGCTTGAATATTGTGGATCATATGTACGCTTCATTGGAGCAGAAAGGAATTACCACCTTTAGAGATGATAAAAGGCTTGAGAGAGGACAATCTATTTCCTCAGGAATTGTAAAAGCAATTGAAGAATCACTGATTTCCCTCGTCACTCTTTCAAAGAACTTTGCCTCCTCAACTTGGTGCTTGGATGAGCTTGTGAAGATTCTTTAATGCACAGAAAAATCTAACTTGCACACGATTCTCAAGGCCTTTACAGAACATGAAGAAGCATTGTCAGACATGGTCGGTATCAAGTGTAATACAAGGGCCTCTCCCAGACCCTGCGTAAAGCGGAAACCTTGTGCACTGGGTACGATGACCTTTATTGATTTTGAATGTTATATTTTTATAAGTCGCCAATGCCTATAATTTTTCACGATTGTTCTTTTCCTAATTGTTTTATTTCACTTTCAGGAAAATAAGTAAAGTTGGCATTTCGGTTCACTACGATGGAGAGTGGGTTAGTACTGCATACGTTGGTGGTAAAGCGAAAGAAATAGTGGTGTCAAAGGACATTACTTTTGAGGAGCTTCTAGGTAGCGTGTATCGTATCGTCGGGATAGATCCATATGAGTATGAGATTATAATGAAGACTACAGATGACTCAAAATTGCCTGCTCAACCAGTACAGATAGTCGATGATGAGGACTTGTCATTTTAAATAGAACAGAGTCTATGTTTGGATAAAAGCTCGAAGATGAATATTCTTAAACCCCGAGTATCTTCTCCTAGAACTACAAGGTAAACTTTTTCGCTCTTTTTGTCAAATTGAAATGGTTGGATATTTTCTTCTGGTTTATTGCTCATCATCCTCATCTTTCAAGGTGACTGATGATTATCATGACCGATGATGAAAATGAAAGTCCCTTGTTTTCCATCAAGTATAGTCCTCCACTAGGTCGGAATTTGTCGAAACCCACACAAACTACGTCAGCATAAGGCACAAGGTTCTTTACTAGACGACAATGGTCACATTTGAGTACATAGCCGGAATCCTCCAAGAGCAGCATATCCAATAGCGGAGCTAGGAATTTTTTATCGGGTGGGCTAACTTAAAATTTTAAATTTTTATAAATAAAGAAACTTGATACCGTATTTTTCAACGTATCAGCTAGCTTAAAAATTTTCACAAGGTGAGCCAAATTTTTTTTGTAATTAAACAAATACGTATTAAAATTAAACAAATCCAAACTGGTATATTTACAAGAAACGATGAGAAAAATATTGTAAGAAAAAGAGATGGTTTACAAACTGTATTATATTTTTTTTTTTGTCGAACAAACTGTATTATATAATTTTATATAGTTAAACCTAAAGAATTCGAATTAGTGACTAAATATTTGTTGGGCTACATTCGAAAATCAATCAAAATTACATGTAAAATTTTATTTTTCACCTCAAGCTACCTCGGCTACAGCCCGGGGCAGCCCTTAACTTGGCTCCGCCAGTGAGCATATCACTAGATTTTTAGAGAACAAAGAAGCAAGAACAAAAAAAGAGGAGGAAGAAAGATACTCATCCCCAGACAGCTAGGGTTTATTTTAATCAATCAATTTATTTCTACTTGTAGTTGTAGAGTAAGTTTCTTTCATTTAATCAGTTTATATACTTTCTTTGCTAACTAATTTTTTCCATGTATTTTCAGGAAAATTAATAAACTTAGACTTTTGGTTAACTATGATGGGAAGTGGGGCAATTCTATATACATTGGTGGTAAAACGAAGGGAATTATGGTTTCAGACAGCATTACCTATGAAGGACTTGTGCAGAGACTGTATCATATTCTTGAGGTAGATCCCAGTGAATATAAGATCATAATAACGACGGCATATGGATCAAAATTACCAACCCAACCGTGAAGCTAATCGATGATGATGACCTGACATTTTTCATTGACGAGAGTCTGTCATTGGACGAGGGCTCGAAAATTCCTTTGTGCATCACTCTCCAACGACGGTTTTATCGTTGGCATCTTTTTTCTTCTTCGTTTGTTCTTCTCTTTTCTTTTCTGATGCTTGTCTTTGTGAATGTCTCCTACGTTGCCTTTTGAGTACTCGAAGCCCTAGATTGCAAGCTATGAAAAAATTAGTTCATTGCTTTTGTAGTTGTCTCTGTTGTTGATATTGTAGTGGTCTTAGTTTCCCTGCAACTGCGTGCTTTTATCTTATGCTATTATTCAAAATGTAGCCCTATATAGCTTTCCAAGCAAATTAATTTTCAATTTTCCCAAATTCTTTTCTCGCATTTAGAGTAATTTTATTTTCTCGAACTTAGCGTAAATTTTAAATTTCTTGTAATTTACTTCCTTGCCATTTATTTTATCGCAATTTACTTTTTTGCATTTTATTTTATCGCAATAGGAGTATTGTAATGTTTTACTTATCAATTCAATCCATTTGACTAGTTCATTTGGGTTGCTACAATACACCTCCTCATGCATTCCATCTCACCATATCAATCATCAAGGTCTAAAATATCGATATTATCCCGATATTTCTATCGAAATTTTCATGTTTTTAGACTATCGATATTTCCGATATCATCGATATTTTAGATCTTGATAGGACTCTATGTGGTACCAAGTCACTCATGTATCTTACCATGCAATGTATAAAGTGTAAAATATTGTACTAATTCATTATATATAAATGATTATGGTGTGTTTAAATTTCTTTCATTAATTACTACATATTTTCTACACTCACAATGTTTGCCAGCTAGCTATATAATCAACTTAAATCAGTTAAATCCATCATGCAATGCATTTCCTTCCATTTTTTTGTGATAAACTAATAGATAATTGACTAAATAAACATCCTGCAAAGTTTTAATAAAAATTTCCAAGTTTTCTTACAATTTCAGTGATTTTTATTTAATTTTTATCGATATTGATAATATCCCGATATTTCCATCGAAATTTTCGTATTTTTAGATTACCGATATTTCTGATATCATCGATATTTTAGACCTTCTAAATCACCAAACTTGTTTCCACCCATCCATGCACTCATCATGTCCGCACGGACAATGCCCATCTCATACTCAGCCTGATCACCATGTGGCCGAGACTAGTTTTGTGACCAATTGTAATCCAACCTATGAAAAAGGAAAGAAAAACTAATTACAATAAGATTTTGCCATTTAGGTCTACTGATCTAATACTATTCATCTTTCATCTACAAATAAAAAAATTTTATCTTATAAATGACGCGTCCGAAACTAATATATTCTCTCATTATCCATTAGTGTGAATGTACCATTTGTAGCAAAATAAATAAATTACAAGAAGAATTACATCAAAGATTTATTTATATATTTTTCCATAAAAAGGTTTCTATCTACGACCGTAAAGCCCTACGCCTAAACCCCCTGCGCCTGACCCCTCCCTCCAAAACAAGGAGAAGCGGTAGTTTCTCGTTTCCCAAACAAACCCTTCATCAATCTCACAGTCACTGACCAACTCCTCCCCTTCATCACACCTCCAATGGCGACTCGCGCATTTTCGCGATCAAAGTCGTCATTTTTCTCCTCAGTACTCCTTCAAAACCTAAAAACAACACCAATCAAAACCACCCCATTGCTTCTAAACTCCACAATTCCAGAGCTCGAAATCAAATCCTGCAGACCCATTTCTGGGTTCAGGCTGTATCACGACGGGAGGCCCAGAGGACCGCTCTGGAGGGGCAAGAAGCTGATTGGCAAAGAAGCGCTTTTCGTAATCTCGGGTTTGAAGCGGTTCAAGGACAACGAAGAGAAGCTCGGGAAGTTTGTAAAGACCCACGTTTTGAGGCTTCTGAAGATGGATATGATTGCTGTGCTCACGGAGCTCGAGCGCCAGGAAGAAGTTGCTTTGGCAATTAAGGTATCGAATTTCTGTGGTTAAATTTTGAGATTTTTATTTTTTTTTTCGCATTTGATCTTCTGGGTTGTTGTGAAATTTGTACTCGCGGGTGTTGAATTTGTGCTGTGTGAATCCACTTATTTGTTGCTAGTTTATGATTGTTGCAAAAAGGGGATCAGTGGGTTGCACGCAATGTGTTTGATTGAATGCCTGACTCAATGTGCGCTCTTGGGCACCTTCAAATATGCTTTGTCAATGAGTTTAACAGTAGTAGGAGAAATGCATAGCTTTCGTGTAAGTATTTCTGGGTATTCCTGTGAGTAATGCAGGTTCATGGTATATGGTAAAGCGTGATTGGAGTGACGTGGTTTTCATGGCCAAATCCATCTTTGATTCAAAACGGGCATTTTTTCACTGGTAGCTATAGGTGCTATAACAGCTTTTTGGATTTTGAAATAGCTAGTAATGGTGAAATGTTGAAATCTCTCAAGAGTCAAGACGACCATATTAATAACACTCACTGCCATATTTCCCATTTGAATTTGCGAAAAACAAGAAAAGTTATTTTGAATTGCGGATGTATTATTTCCTTCAAGAAGTCAGGTTGAAACCCAACTCTTCAAATACACAATGGTGTTTTCAAATTTAATTGTTGTCTGTGTTAAATGCAAAACCACATTACAGGTATGCTGTCGTTTTGCAGACTTGTATATCGGAGTACTCAAGAGGAAAATTGGATTTAGACCATTATTTGAAATGAAATTCCTTCTGGACTGCACCATCTTTATTTCTGTTTACATACATATGCAATGAACATATGTGTTTGTTTATTGGAATTACAAGTGACTCGGTGAATTTTCAGGTATTTAACGTGATTCGAAGGCAAGACTGGTACAAACCGGATGTCTATCTGTACAAGGACTTGATTATTGCATTGGCAAGATCTAAGAAAATGGAGGATGTTATGCTACTGTGGGACATCATGAAAAAGGAGGATCTATTTCCTGATTCTCAAACATATACAGAAGTTATCAGGGGTTTTTTGAACTCTGGTTGTCCAGCAGATGCGATGAACATATATGAGGACATGAAGCAGTCTCCAGATCCACCGGAGGAGCTGCCGTTCCGGATTTTGTTGAAGGGACTTCTGCCACATCCCCTTTTGAGAAACAGAGTCAAGCAAGACTTTGAGGAGCTGTTTCCCGAACAGCATGTGTACGATCCCCCAGAAGAGATATTTGGCATGCGCGGCTGAGGTCTGCATTCTATGATTTGAGCTTCTCTCCACACAGATGTTATATTGATTTCATCGTCCCGATTAAAATTTATTTGGTTTCAGGGCTTAAATTTTTCTGTCTCTTCATCGGAGGGGGTCGTATCCCAACCGATTCTAGGATGATGGATTGCCTGCTAAAACCTTTAGGTGGTTTATCCCGTAAAATGACATGTAAAATTGTTCCTTCTTTAAAGTATCGAAGATTGGAGTTCTTGGAACGGAACTTTTCATATTTTGTAAATGTTCATGTAGGCATGTGAATTTTTGACCTGTCTATGTTGACATAGATGAGCATGTATACGATTGATTGTGGTTTTTGTACCCTTTGTATCGTGGCACTGCTAATCTCCAAAATTAGGAGGCTGCAGTAGTACTTGGATCCAAATTGGATTGGGCCTCGCTGAATTCAAATTGGGCTGTCTAAAATAATGTAATTGTCCAGTAAGAGTGCTTCTAAGACAAACATCGATTTACAATTTTTTGAAGAATGTTACTTTCTCATTTGAACATTCTCGTTTTACTTTTTCTACTCTCCTTTTCATCTTACAATGTTACGTGATGATTTGCACCATTATTTCCTAACCCCCACTTTAAAGGTCAACTCTTGTAGAAATCAACCAAATCCAAAATCGTTTAGTCATCTAATGATATAGATTTATGTTATTTAGTTGAACACTTAAATTTTAACAATGTTAAACGAATAGTTAATGACTTTTTATTGGTTGATTTTCAGTAAAGTTGATATTAAAGGTTGAACTAGAAAGAAGACGATTCCAATCATTGTGCAACATTGCACGATGAGAAGGAGAACAACGTTAATGCTAAGGAGACTCTTAAAGTGAGACTTTTTATGGACTATCTGTCACTTTACAGTGTAATGGTAATTCTCGTGTCAACATTATAAAACATTATACCAAAAACATGAGATGACATAGAGAGCCACGAAGAATTCTATTTGTGAAAAAATCTCCTTAGCATTTCTCATCATGTCAATCCTAATCCTAGCTGAATTCCAACTGTCCTTGATTCTTTTATTGCAAGTAGACATTCGGATGAGAATAATTCATATTTCTAACCCTTCTATTCAAAGTAAAGTGACAATACTACTTTTTCTTTTGCACTTTTACTCATTTACTTTTAAATTGTTATTGTACACTTAGTGGGAGGTTGATATTAATATATGATGACATTGTGTTGGCTTTATAGTAGTAAAGATAAAGATTAGCAGTTGGGATTAGTGTCTTCATCATATATTCCAAACCGTATTTTTACTATAGAGAAATGCAAATGAGACTTTTTAAAGTAAGATTATCTGTTATCTCACATTATAACATTAATTATTAAGCTAATATTATAAAATACTGTGCAAAAAATTCGTGGCAAAGAGTCCTATTTTTTAGAGTCTCTCCTTGCTGAGAAATGTTAAAGGAGACTCTCATAGTGAGAATCTTCATGGTCTTTCTACCACCTCACAGTCAAGGACCGAAAGATTGGGAAATTTTTGTTGAAGAAAGAGAAATGTTAAGGAAGCTCTCTTAAAGTGGAACTCTCCATAGACTCTCTGCAACCTCACAGAGTCACAGTTTAACGTCAAAGACTCAAAAATTGGAAATTTTTTGCTGAAGAAAGAGAAATGCTAAGGAGACCATCTCAAAAGTAGGACTCTCCATCATTTCATATTTTTGGCACAATTCATATGTCAACATTATAAAATATTGTGACAAAACATGAGATGACAGAAAGACTAGAGAAAGCCTCACTTTAAAAGAATCTCACCTTAAAAGAGTTTCCTTAGCATCCAACCGACCTATAGTAAGCAAAAGTGACACATAGAGATTTAAACTTAATCACCAAAACCCATTCAAATTCATATTATTTCAAACCAATAATTGTACCAACTTTGTCGTAAGCATCCCACTTAGTACAAGAAGTCCCACCTCAAGCTAAACCCATATCCAAACAAAATTGCATATATAATACGATGTTCACACAATTTGCCATTGTTCTAGGTCATGACATCTCATCGTTTTGGAATATCTTTGCCTGTGTAGTACAAATAGAGTAATATGACTTCCCACATCCTCACGAACGTGAGATGGAAGCATGTGTGGAGGTTGGACGCAGCAAGTGGAAGCCTGTTTTGATGTTATAGGGAAGCCTCAAGATCTTTTAAACACCTATTTCAAGACTTCCGTCTTTATTGAGAAATACTTTTAAGCAGAATCACATAATTCATACTAACTACAAATTCGTACTAAATATATGCTCAAATTCGTACTAAAAAAAGCTTCAAAGAAAAGCTTCAAATTATTGAGCTTCAAATTCGTACTAAATATATGCTCAAATTCTTTTAAACACCTATTTCAAGACTTCCGTCTTTATTGAGACTACCAAAGATTCCAGTACATACTAAAAAAAAGCTACAAATTAATTTTATTTGAAGATTTTCTACATGTTCATAAGCTATATATATGGTCCTACATCACACTGGGGGTTTTTTTATTCATGAATAGTGACTTGATATGAATAGGTAAGAGAATGGTGGACCATGCATTACTTGAAGCATATCCGACAGAGCAAAGCTTATCTAGTTATCCACTTTGTGGGATCAAAAGCATCTGGATGCATTTCTATCCCTCACTTGAAGTCTTCAACGTATATATCCCACAAAATATAATCACACAACGGGGGCCTTGGGGGAGATGAAATAAAAATCGAGTCTAGACATCGAGTCTAGGCATATAAGCACAATACCAATCAGATATTTCATAGTTAGTATGAGGGTTGAAAATTCTAATCATATTTTAATTAATCTAATCTAAATTAAGAAGAAAAAAAAATGCCGCGTAGGCTTATTTCTTAGCTCACTATCTCTTTCTTAATCACGCAAATCTTTCTAGTTTTTGGTTAATCTTCTCCACTTGTGACATCGAGGAAAACTTGGATGCCCTACAAGTCTAACCATATGGTGTCTTTATAAAAAAATTCTTTCTCCATGGGAGGAGGAATTTGAACATAGGTGTCGAGCAGATGTACACTGCCTTAGCTAAATAAGTTGTGTCACTCAACAGCATTCTCTTCGAATCCTTTTGATGAGGATCCTGGGAATTCATGAATTATGTCCGTTCATCGTATATTGTGCAGTCACTTTTTATTAAGTACTGTTTACGTTTAATTTTAAATAAAATGATTTCTGACTGCACGATATACGATGAATGGATCCCTGAAATCGTCAAAGAGGATCCGTCCAGATTCTTGTGTCACGTTTACTACGAGTAGGTGGTACAGATACGTTAATGAGTTGGTATTAGGCAAGGTCTAAAATATTGATGATATCAGAAATATCGGTAGTAAAAAAACACGGAAATTTCTATAGAAATATCGAGATATTATCAATATCCATAAAATTAAATAAAAACCACGGAAATTGTAAGAAAAACTTGGAAATTTTTATTGAAACTTTGCAAAATATTTATTTAGTCAATTATCTATTAGTTTATCACAATAAATTGGAAGGAAATGCATTGCATGATGCATTTAACTGATTTAAGTTGATTATATAGCGAGCTGACAAACATTGTGAGTGTAGAAAATATGTAGTAATTAATGAAAGAAGCTTAAACACACCATAATCATTTATATATAATGAATTAGTACAATATTTTACACTTCATACATTGCATGGTAAGATACATAAGTGACCTAGTACCACATAGAGTTCCTATCAAGGTCTAAAATATCGATGATATCGAAAATATCGGTAGTCCAAAAATGCGGAAATTTCGATGAAAATATCGGGATAATATCGATATTTTAGACCTTAGTATTAGGATGGGGCAAAAGCTTTCGATCCTCTCCAAATGTAGTACTATGATTTGCAACCCAAAAAATGTGGCACTACGTGATACGTCCACTTGGCATGAAGAGTGGAGCCCACGTGGCACTTATCCGTTAGGTTTGGGTGGGGAGAAAGATGACTATAGTGAGGAAAACAATAGGTCAAGTTCCAAATCTTTTGTGATGAAAAGAGAAACAAATCTTTGGTTGCATGGAAACGGAAAGAGGATTGCTTTTTCTTAGGGTGATGATGGGACATGGGCGGCACTACCTGCAGTGCCGACTTTCGTAGAACAAGTGCCAATATAAATTTTGGGTTTTGGATACTGGGTGGCATCATCTTCATCACGTGCTCTCTCTCTTTTTTCTTCCTCTGCAAATCTGATCTGCTTTGTTTCTTTAACTGGGTTTTTCTCTTGGAAGCTGCTTTCTTGCAGAGTGCTTTTTTCTGGAGTTGGGTTTTTTTGGTTGACGTAGAGAGAGAAGGGAAGTAAGAAATGGAGAGTAACAATAAGTATCAAGGCAATTCAGGTTCCTCATTGACTGCTGATCTTTTTGGTGCCAAGGACAAGGAGTCTCCCCCCAAGTCTTCTACTGGGATTTTTGCTTCCATTTTCCCACCTCCATCACAGGTACATATGATTCTTCTACTGCTTTCATATATTTATGCTCTCTACTTTTTGTGTAAGGTTGATTTAAATGTTTTTTTTTTTATTATTTTGATTCGGAGTGATATTCCAATCTAATTTAATATAAATTACTAAGAGGGACATTTGAACTTAAGTGCAGAAGAAGAGCAAGTTGGTCTAGCCAACTTAGCAGCAAAGTTGATTTAACATTAGAAATTGGGAAAGGATTTTGGTTACCTGGGATTTTCTTTATTGGGTTCATGCATATGCTTTGTTATTATAAATTTTTATAAATTTCTTGACTTTATAATAATGAACTGAAAAGTGCTTAGCAAGTAAAAGTAAAATCTGGCAGAGAAATACCAAAAGGGGGAAAGAAAAAGTTTTATGGTTTTTTTTAAGCAAGATATTGATTTGGGATCAGAGCATATTTATTGGTTAAGTTTTTGCAAGATAGGGGAGAGCTGACAACCCAAAACAAAAAGCACTTTTTTCCTCACGGTACTCATAGCTCTTTTGTATAGCATTATTCTCTAGTTCAGTGGACGGAAAAACGGGGGTGATTGTTAATGGAGGTGTACAACTGGCCGTCTTTAAGCGGACTGATATTTTGAAGGATGCAGGCCGGCGAGAGAATTTTTAGTGTGATTGGTACACGAAGTAGTACATTACGTATTATTATAAAGGTCGTAACCAGTGCACAAGGCTCCCGCTTTACGCAGGGTCTGTGAGAGGTGAATGTCGGCTAGCTTTACCCCCATTTATGGAGAGGCTGCTCCCAAGTCTCGAACCCGAGACCTACCGCTCATGGACGAAGGCACTACGTGTTATTATACAATGATAAAATATGTGTGTTAAAAAGTTAATAACCTAAAAACTAAAATTTTCTACCACTTACATAAAAAACACGTGATGTACCATCCGTGTTTCCGTCACAATTAAAAATTTCTCCAGGCCGGCAAAAGACCAGCTCGGTCCGGCCCATTGTACACCTTTGCTTGTCAGCGTTCTGTCAAGTGAAAGTCTCTTTGGTCGTTAAGAAACACAGACTAAATCTTCTGTTGGATATATATATGCTCGTGTATGACTTTTTACCTAATTTTAAGGTGGTTGGGAGGAACTCTTCAAGCTCTGAGCTGACAGAATATTGGCAGAAGCAGTCGTCCTTGGGGAATCATGCATGGAACTCCAAGCAAGGTACTGCAGGGTTGTGTTACGCTGATTTTAGTTTCTTTATTTTTGTGTTCATACTTTTTTGAAAGCGAACCTAGTGTTGATTTTGCACCATGTCTAAAGTTTCCGACTAACAAACTTTTAAATTGGAATAACTTATGCTTAATTAATCTCATTTCTCATATCTCACTTTTTCTGTGGTAAGTGGAATATGACTATTTAATGTGGAATTTCTCGTATTACACCTAACTGGAAGAAATCTTGTTGAATGTAAATAGATTACAGTATGTTTATTTTGCAATGCTCTACAACCTCTTGATGTTGGATATTGAACTTTGTTTTTAAAGCTTATTGCCTCGGCCTTTGCATTTTTCTCGAAATATATAGCTATAAGTGGCGAAGGTGCACACTATAGCTTACCCAACAAGGACCGGAGTTCAGTTCTTCAGGAAGAAAGAGCAGAACCATGTCATCTAAGTTCATCTATTTACTATGGTGGGCAAGAGGTGTATTCCCAGTCCCCAAGTACCCGTTCCTCTGGATCCTATCCTATAGTGAGTCTTGATAAGTTGACAATCACATAATATATAGACATATACTGACGTTATCAGCATGATTAACGGATTAAAGGCCATGAGAAACTGATTCTGTTTTTTATTTGTGACTGAATTAGTTCAAGAAAGATGGGGGAGAAGATGATCCAAATGGAACCAACTCGAACAGTGCTGCCCGAGGAAATTGGTGGCAAGGTACTGATATTGAAGATGAAATTAGTAGTATTAATAATTTGATCTACGTTGTAGAGTAGATCAGCGTCTGGACTTCTGACTTGCGTTTCTGCAGGTTCGCTCTATTATTAGGACCTTGCCTTCCCTGGCCACATGAATTCTCATCTATTTTTCAAGGTATATTCATTCACTCTTAGATCCTTCTGCTCAAAATAGATTCTCTTATTGTTTCAACACTTCAGTTAGATCGAAAGTCTCTTAGCATTGCGTTTCTCTTTCATATGATAAATAGTTGCAATCTCTATTTTCCTCTTGTCAATTTATACGAATTCATGAATTCTGGCATAATGTGAAGATATCACGCTAGACAAGTAGCGGATGCAAGAAGATCTTATCTATTTCCATTTTGCAGGAATTCACAAGGCCTGGGTTTTCAAGTATGAAAGCGTAATATAAATAAGTGGCTGATGAGCGCATTGGTTGCGAAAGATGCTGGACATGAAGTGCAAGCTTTTATGTCGGTATGGTCAACTGTTTCATTGGGATTTTATCAAGATGATGGTTTTCAGAAAATGTAGTGTTCTTACTACTCTCCGCTGGAGTTTGTTTCTGTGTGTGGTTTGAAAGTTTTGTTTTTTTTCTTTTCTTTTCTGTTAAATTAAAGCCTCTGGATGACTCGCAGGCGAATGATATGAGCCTCTTGCTGTATCATTGTGAACAATTATGCTTGAAGTGATTACGGTTTCTTATGAAATGTGTTTTATCATTATGACACGTTTACGGTTTCTTGAAGAGTAAATGCATCTCCATTACATTCAAAGTGTTCATAGTTGCTGGTCAAGCAAAACTTGAACCTTGTTCATTCGAAATATTTAGACGACACATGGAATTTTAGCAGAGAACAAATTGTCATAAGAAACCTGACTAATCAGCCAATTTAATGTACATAGAAATTGTTAAAAGACACTTACAGCTCTAGTCCAGAGTTGGATTCTCAACCACAAGAAGATACAACTTCAACCCTCTCGCCTTTTATCCTTACGCCGATTCTTTGTCAGAAAAGCTTTGCTTCTAACGCTGAAAATCCGGTGACAAGATGATGCCACAATCAGTCCCGGGGACTAGCATGAGTCATCTGCTAAGTTAGTGTCATGGAATCTGATATTGACAATTGTTCTCCCCACTTTTCTCGTCATTGGATATGCAGAGGAAAAGCCTTTCGTAAGCAGCCGCCATTTTTGTAGCAGTGAACAATTGCAAGCCTCTCTGCCTTGCTGCCTGGCCTTTCTGCTTCAAATCTCCTCTGCCATCACTCCAAACTCTATAGAGGATCTTCTTGAGTGAAGCTATTGTTGGCGAAAATGTATATCCCACTTCTGTACCAACAACCACAGAGCCAGTAATGCTGGCAAGCCTCGTTGCCATTACAGGCTTCCCGGAGAGCATTGCTTCCAATAACGTATGATCCAATCCCTGAGCGCGAAGAGTTGGGTTCACGAAAATATCAATAGCGTTGTAGAACTCAGCAAGTTGAGCTTGTTCCAGTGGCCCCAAAACAAGTATATTTTCTCCGAGATCTCTGTACCTTGCACCCCAAGGACCATTCCCAGCAACCAGAACAACAACAGTTTGCCTAAATGCATCATTTTCCTGGAGCATTTGCTTCAACGCCTCGAACATCAGAGGATGGCCTTTATCCCTCACCAACCTCCCAGCCATTCCCAGAACTAAAGTCTTAGATTCCAGCACCCCAAACTTTCTCTTAAAATTCTCCCCCTTGGCAATGTCCGGCCTGAAAATCTCCTCATCAACGCCGTTAAGAATAATGTGAACGCGATCATCAGGGATCATGTAAATCCTCTTGAGTACATCTCCGACATGGTCACTGGTAGCAACGTGGTGAGCATAACTGGGGAAAAACCTCACCTCTTCAACAACCTTCATAATTCTTTCAGTCAATGCATACCCTTGTGGTTCTTCGTGGCTCCGCAAAAGCTCTTGTATGATGTCGGAATGTATAGTTTCATATGCAATCCCATGCCAAGACACAGCCAGATTTGTCTGGTTACGCGATCGAGTGTGCAGGAGGCCAACGCTTTCCGTGTGGATCACATCGAAAGGCCTTCTTGTTGAGTTTTGAGTTTGAAACATCTTCCAAACCACAGCTTGGTCCAGATACCCAGCAGCTGTTGGTTTCGAGAGGTGAAAATACAAATTTCTCGTCGCGTACCTTGGAAAGGAGGAATTCGAAGAAGGAGAAGCGGTAAAGATATGAAGCTCATGACCTCTTTTGGCAAGGGCAAGGTGGAGGGTCAAGGCGTGCCGTTCCAGCCCTCCTGCTTGAGATCTCTGAGGCCATTTCTTGACGAACAGAGCGATTTTAAGAAGCTTCGGAGGCGGCTTTGATGAAAAAGCAAGCTGGTTCCATGCTGAAGGGAATGCAAGTAGGTCGTTGATTTGGTTTTGGTTAAGCTCCATTTTTGGGTATAGAGAGTAGCATGGACTATGGTAACTGTACCAGTAAATGAATGAGATGAATGAACAGACACATAACAGCAAAACGATGCCGCAAAGACCACGAAAATTGAGCAGAGTAACTGAATCCTTTGCCATGGAAGAAGTATGCAAGAAAAACAACTATACCAAAATTTGGAAAAGTGACGAAATGAGACGTTTTTCCTCTGTTTCTGATTCAATGGTATTTGCACATGGGCATCCACAAAGCTACAAGTTCAAGAGAAGCAGTTCCTATAAAAATTGCCAATCTCGATAGATTGTTTATGAAGAATTAACGAACCTTGTAAAACAAGCAACATCCATTGACTTCATAAATTAATATCATTAACCTATTTATCCAAATTTTAATCCTTAGTAAATTCACATAAACACCAACTTGTATGTACTTTTTACTTAACATTAGTCTACACAATGCGATGGTACGGACGCGTTGAGAAAACTTCATTTTTACCCAATCTTGGTTGCTTGTTTTAGTGTTTAAAATCGTCATTTAAAGCTTAAACTTTAGAGCTCCATTCCCGAATTGAATCCGTTTGGTACTTAAATCCTAAAACCAAAAATTTAAAAGGCGATTCTATACCCTCGATAATCAAACCCAAACTCACAATTTTAAGCTTAGATTTTAGGATTCTAATCTCGAATTGGTTCACAACTTAATACTTAGAACCTAAAATCGAAACTCTAAAGGAAGATACAACACCCTAAATAATCACATGTATCCCTATTGGTTAACGTAATTGATCACAACTAAGATTTTTTCAAAATGATGTTCTGCATACTAAATTTACGTACATATAATTTAAATTTATAAATATGATTAAAGATGCAAAGAAATTGTGCAATTTTAACTTCCGTTTTCATTGATAATACTTTTCTATCTCGTAAAAGCATGTACCACAAGAAAAACATATATAACAAGAGCTAAAGGAACCAAAGTCACCAGAGGACCAATTGCAGCCAAAGTGTAGAGACTCCCACAGCCCAACCTCCCCAATTTGATCTGAACCAAGTCCACCAGCGTCATCACCAAAAACCCACAACCCACAACCGAGCCGAAAGCCGAAACTAGCGTCCCGACCCGCAAAGCCACCCGGTTCACTTGACCTATGTGGGAGTGGGAGACTGAGCTGCCGTCGCCATTGTCCTCCCCAATGTCTTCGCTGATCTTGATGGCTTGCTTGAGGGCCAAGGCAACGAGACTGGAGAAAAGGAAGGAGCTGAAGGAGTACACGTGGAAGGCAATGAGGCCCTCGGCGGAGGAGGCCCCAGCGACGCAGGCCGTGTTGGAGCCGATGAGCATGTCGGCGGGATCAGTGGTGGGGTAAAACGTGAGGCCGACGAAGGGCGCGAATGAGAAGAGTGAATTGACATTGACGATTCCATCTAAGGCCATTATGTGGATGCGAGTGGTGGATATTGGACAGCACCGTGACGCGGCGGACATTGCCGGATTCGTGGGTTTGGTGGCGGTGTAGGTGGTGGAAAAGAAAAAGGAGAAAACATTTTTTTTTTGGTTCTTTTTTTTGGTGATTTAATGGGAGTTTTTGGGGTGTGTTGATGATTGTGGAGTGGTTTGGAAGATTGAAATTTGGAATCGATGGTTTAGCGTGTGTGTTTATGTGGGTAACTTGTTTTTTTCAGGCAAGGAACTTGGAAGGGGATGCAAGCAAAAGACATGTGAGAGTTCGAAAGTTGTGGAGAAAGACATAAGAAGAAAAAGTATGGAAAAGCAAAAGTGATGCGCCGTTGCCGGGGATCGAACCCGGGTCACCCGCGTGACAGGCGGGAATACTTACCACTATACTACAACGACTTTTTGATAGTTGATTAACATATAAATATATATTATATTATAGAATGCTAATCAATAGTAAAGCGGGAACCAGCTTTTACTTTTGGGAAAACGTCTGAATTAACAAAAGTTATTAGGTTTGATTGATAGAACAACAAATTAAGAAGCCGTAGTGATTTACTTATTTGAATCATTAGTCACGTGTAGGCTGCTTCATTGGATCATCCTTATGCTTGCAATCTTCTTTTTCATAATTAATCGCGCAAAGTTCTCTAGTATGAGCCTCTAAGAGTATCCATATGATAAAACTAGCAACCATAACCCTTTGGCAATTGGCATAAGAAAATATCCAAACACTGTAGGCCGACTAGAAGGCCAAACATACATGTAGCAAAAGCTGGAGGTACGCATGAATGGGATCTGTTATTTTCCGAATGGGCATTTAATCCTCTTGCTGAAGATGTAAATGTTTCTTAGAGAATTTATGCAATTTCTATTGTTTGACAAAAAATAAGCCAGTCATATATATTTATACAAGGGATTAGGTTTGACAACCAAAATAGTGTCACTCAAATAATGAGGCCACTCGATATAAGAGTAATGTTACGAAGATTACATTTTTATACCACATTAGTGTACCATCTCATGCGATAAGTGATGTTTACAACCAATAACCAATGACATAAATTCTTTAATTGACGCGACATGTACAAATCACTTGCCACATGAAATGATACACTAATGTGGTAGAAAAAGGTGGTCTAAATAATTTTGCTTTCCAATCTAATGTAGTGTACAATATTGACATAGTTGGAGAAAAAAAGGGAGAAAAAAGGGATTAGGTTTTTAAGAATTTTCCTTCAAAGTAGATAAGTATTCATTGTCGTCTATTGTTTGATTTGGGAAAATTAATCATAATTTAGCATGATGAGGTTTCTCATGTTTTAGGGCTAATTTTGCACTTCACACATCAAGAACATTCTTTATAAAGATAACTATATGCAAATAGGGAACCACACACATAATTCAATTCATTATCCAAACTGGATGCAACAAACAAAGATTAAATTATTGAATACATCCTTGGACTTTGCATTTATAAAATTAACATTTTGCTACAAGCAATTCAGCATCCAATCAAACACTATGATCCTTGACAACGGTAACGGGGCACTCTGCATTTGCCATAACGTAGCTGGACACGCTTCCCAGCAGCACCCTAACATATATTCAACAAAAATAAATGTATACCGAGGTTAATACTGTGAATTATGATTCTAATTAATATGGAGCATCAAGTGTTTGCGTCACTATAAGTTTCACGAGTCACCTTATTTTTCGTTGCCCAAAGTTTCAAGCAACGAAGTATTTCCGTCGTGATAAGTTTCACAAGACAAAGTTTTTCAGATCTAAATTTCATCGCGCAAAGTCTATTGCGTGACGAAATATAAAGATTTTTCACCCAAAGTTTTGCGTCTCAAATTGGAAAAACATTTTTCTGTAGTAGTGTATACTATTATATGGTTCTATGTTAATTTACCTTTGGATGGTACCAAGGCCCCTGCTGCCAATGACCAAACAGTCAAGCTTTAGTTCTTCAGCTGCCCCACAAAGTTTCTCTCTTGCATCTCCCCAGTAGAGCTTCGCCACGACAGTCACCTATATATAATCATCGGAAATGTCCTCTTATTAGACAGTCAGATATTGTGTCGTGTCAAAAGATCAACCAAGATCATTCATTAATTGAATTCTCGTTTTAACGTTTGATAACAGACTAACTGTCTAACATAATATGTTAGATATCTGTCAAGTTTTAAGTTTATATTGTTTGATAAATATATTTGTTGTCGAGTCACAGATTTGAACAAGAAGTAGCATAATTAATAGTTCAAATTCATAGTCCGGCAATTACAATAATTAAAGTGGGGATGAATACAGAAACAACACATACATGTTTCTGCCTAGACGCAGTCTCAAGCAACTCCAAGACCTCTGCATCAAGCTCAACCTCGTACTTCTCCATCACCGATTTTTCGCGGAACTCTGTGAACGGAATCAGAGCTGCAAACAAACATCCAATCACAAGCTCAACAAATCAAAATCGTAAGACAGAAAATACTATATATAATGAATAAATAAGATAAAATTTTGAAGCAATAAGATCATGAAAATTATAGTAGCTAGAGTACGTGATCCGGTGGAAGACCAAAGAATGCTGCGACTCTCATCGCCTTGGGAGGGCTTGACATGGATGACATACAAGGTATCGCCCTTTTCCTGGCTCAGATTATCAATGGCCCATTTTAGAGCAATCTTGCTTCCTTTTGAGAAATCTACGGCTACCCCGATTTTCCTATCCCTTGTCATGATATCGAAAAACACCAAACCAATTAGAGTGAATTACAAACAAATGTTTGAGAGCCTTCAGCCTTGATACTTGATAATTGAACAACTTAATGGCAATACCAAGGAATACAATAGCAAAAAAACTAGTAGATAGATATGAGCGTTGAACTTTTGGTAGTTAGGCTTTGCATATTAAAATCAACAGAGCCTTGTATTTTGATGTATATCTGTAATCCACGCCACATGCCACATGCCACATGCGTAAAAAGTTAGAAACTATGTGGTTTGATTGCTTACCCTAAATTTTGAAGTTACTCGCATAGGCAAACAAATTGTATGAACTGCGAGTGTGCCACTGTTAGGTCCGTTTAGTAAATAGAGTTGTGAATACTTTGGCTCGGTTTGGTTCATTTGTACATCCTGAGAATGTGGCTCGATTTGGTTCATTTCTATGTCTTGAGGAAATAAGGGACTCAAAACAATTGTCTCTTAAGCTCTATTTGGTCATACAAACACATAATATTAGAGTCTTGTATATTACAGAATGTAGTATTTTATCTTGAAGTATAAACTCATTATATGACAAGTAAATTTTTAACATGAATTATAATTTACCGTCTATATATATATATATATATATATATATATATATAATTATGTGGCAGTACGATGATCCCAGTTCAAAACTTAGGTTGCGAACATGTCACTCATGAGTTTTGACATAAAGATCTGTTATTTTATGTGTTGGGGACTGTTTGTTGTCGGGTCCAACTTGGCAACTGTATTATGTAAAGGTATATGATCAATTCCTTAATGATAATGATTGAGAGAGCCGCCTTTTGATTGAATATTGAGCAAGACATCTCAGCAAACAGTCCACTTGATGAAGCAACTGTGTGTATAGTACAATTCGGGTGGAGACTGAAGATAAATGAGAATAATCTCCCGGAAGGTTTGAAACTTTGAAAGTTTGAAACCGCCTTGTTTTCTTGTCTAACTTTTCTTTGTATTTTTATTCTTCTGATTAATCTGCAACTTTAAATCCACGTCACTTTGTAATAAAGTGAAGACTACAAATAACTGAGAAATTCTAAGCTCGAAAGAATTTCCAAGTTAGTAAGAAAATGACCATAAATGTTAGATAAAGGTTATTAAAAATGTTCTTCATGATTATTACAAAAGTATGCATAAGAGAATTGTAAATGCTTCTTTCAATTATATATTTTTGCAATGCTCATGGAGAAGGCTTTTCTAACCCCTTCATCTAACATTGTGTTTTAAATGCGCTCAATCTCTTGGAACTTGGAATTTCCTCACCCAAAAACGTAGGCTAAATGTTTTGACTAGCTCAAAGTTGGCATAGTATCATACACGCAAGGAATTAGAATTTGACATTCAAAATTGTACATGTTTAGAATCATTTTGATTCTAGATGTCCATGTGTGTACTAAAATATGGGTAAATGAATGATTTCATTCCTTAACTTCTCTCTGTGTTTACTTACACTTAAAGAACCGAAAAAAGTGCAAAATTTTCCTTAAATTCTGTAATT